ACACTAATGAAAACATACCTATGAAATATTATATTCCATTTCTGACAATACATCCTCCTAAATGTTACACAGTGGACCTTTAATGTGGTAAGTCTTTTAGAAAGTGGACTGAAGCAACTGAAAGAAATTGGGTAACACTATAGTTCATAATTTCCTAATCATTTCCTGGAAGGAATGAAATTTCCAGTGTGTAGGATTTAGTGACATCTAGCAGTGTAGTTGCCGACGGCAACTCCTTCGCTTCACCCTCCTTTTCCAAACATGAAGGATAAACTATGGTGACCATTAAGTGCCAGTGTTTGGTTTGTCCCTTCTGGGCTAGGCTGGCTAGGTGAGCTGTCTGGGTGCCTCATAAAAGTCTCATTCTAAAAAATAAAAAAAACACATCACTTACTATATTCAGATGATTATATAGTAATGAAAACATATTTATGAATACAGTAGTCAATTTCTGCCAATAGATCCTCCTAAATGTTACACACTGGAGCTTTAACTACGAACTGTATATAATCTGGTACTTATTATAGGCCATTATATTCTCAGTGTAATTCAGCCTATACTTACAGTTAATGCACAGCAAGTGAGCAGAACATGCAGGTAAACAGACAGCTCAAATTATATGGAGAATAAAGGTTCTGAATACTCTGTGTTGGACTGTTTGTCGGACAAAACGAGAGATTTAAAGACGTTATCTTTGGCTTTATGTCTGACTTCTTAGCAAGCCATTTTATGGCAAAACAACAATGCACACACTGTGCATAAATACTCTGTAGAGCAAGAGGGCTTCTCTATCTCCAGTTACAGACAGAAAATGTTTTTGGAGCTCACTTGTGACTTTGGTTCCTCCTCCAGAGAAACTGGCCCAAGCCAAAGAAGAGAACTTGGACATGCACCAGGTGTTGGACCAAACCCTTTTGGAGCTCAACAATCTATAGAGACCTCTTCAGAGCTACATGAAGAACAATGGATAGAGCAAGACAAAAAAAAAAGGTTTAATCTCCCGCTGAAACTCCCAGCATAAACCCTTACAAATGAAATCTTAATGTAGTATCAACAGTTGTAAATGTGAGGATTGGTTCAGATGTAAATCTATAGTGCCCCTTAAATGACATGAGCAAGAACTCGTTTCAGATTCATAACAAAAATTATTTTGTGTGCACTAGAAACTTTGTAGTTAATCAGAAATGATCCTGTCGTCAATAAAAAGTTAATTGCATGCACATGTAACTATCCGGTATGCACCAGAAAGCAGAGATGTGGGCTTGAGGCATTGTGACATGGACTCGAGTCAACTCGAGTCACTGTTTTGATGGTTTGCAACTTGACTTGACAGAATATAAATGACTTGAGACTCGACTTGAACGTTGAATAGTTGTGACTTGACTTGAGACATGATGACTCAGATGACTTTTTAGCTTTCATTTTATGTTTTCAGTTTAAATATTAAATATAAAAAAAATTTTAATGACCTCGGACTCAATTGAGACTTGGACCAAATGTCCTCGGACTCAATTGAGACTTGAACCAGATCACATGATTCACACTCCTATCAAGAGTAATTGTTCTACCAGAAAGGCTTCTCTTGTTTGACCAAACATGATGACGCTTTTCACATTGCATATATTCTTAAACAGAGCCCATGCACTATGTATCTTTTTAAAACTAATGATATACTGAAACTCATACAAGATAGTTGCTGCTGCACACAAGAAACCTTTCTCCTTCACACAGCATAGTTTCTAGTATGCACTGTTTTTTTTCCTTGGTTGATAGTGTGATACATGAATTTCCAAGATGTGTTCCAAGAAGACTGTCCTCCGAAGAAAAACAATAACATTAGTTGTTCAAATGGCTCTATGTTAAAGTCTCACTGAAATAGACTGTGTGAATGAATGTGGGGAGGAAATGATATCTGTTTCAGATCAAAACACTCATTTTAGAAAGCAAACCTTTTGTCTTTTAATTTGAGGGACTTCAATATGTCTGTTTACTTTCTAGGGTAACATTCAAGTTTTTGTAGTAAAATTAACCATTTATTGGCTACATTATTATCAGTGTTATTTTTAGGTTAAAAAATTATGACACCTCAATATTTTGAGTTACATTTTAAAAAGATGATGAATGATTTTAATGAACAATTTGACAAACTAGCAGACAAGAGTGTGGCTGATTTTTGATGTTTAAAGATTTAAATGAAGTGCTGGGAGCTGTAATACTGACATCTAATTCTGAATAAAGGTTTTATATATTGTAAACAAAAATGCATTCTTCAAATAATATAGTTCAAGATGTCTTCAATGAAGTTACTTTTTACAATGAGGTTTTAAAAAAGTCATAGTTGATTAAAACATGCATACAACATCTGTGACATTATTTCATTGCAAAGCTTGAGTGAATCTCTTTGGATAGATGACAAATTCCAGTGAATTAGATTTGTGATTCACATCCTTCCATATTTGGGTTCAGGGATCTGAACTGCACAAGTGTGTATATGAGTAGTAAACTATTAATTCAGATTTAGCATATCAGGATAAATTACCACAGGGTCGCTCGCAAAACATACACTGACAATAATTTGAAGCAAGAATATGAAGCACATCGTAAACACATAAGAATGAAACAACTCAAAAAGACACTGCAAAGTTACAATCCAAGGATAGCAAATAAGTGCCAAATTAAAGAGTCCATGATAGCAGTATTGAAAACACATGTGCTTTGTTTTAAGAGAATAAAGAAGAAAAATAAGAGGGCAAGTATTTGAAGGTAAAATATTGCAGTTAAGAGACAAAGGGAACCATAAAGAGGAACTGATACCAAATTGTTTTGTATCAAAAGGGAGCCATCTGAGTGTATCAAGCATCAAACAATTCTGTGTAAAAAAAAAGAAAGAAACATTCTGGGGCACCCGGATAGCTCATCTGGGGGAGCTGGCGCCCATATGCCAGGGCTGGGTCCTTGCTGCAGCGGGTTGGACTGACTCGTGGCCCTTTGTTGCGTGTTGTCCCACTCTCTCTCTTCCCCCTTTCCTGGCACTCTTCAGCTGTAATTATCGATTAAAGGCAATAAAAGCCCCCAAATAAATACATTTAAAAAAAACACTGTTGAACTGGTGTTCAAAAAAACAGAAACAGCGAAGGTCGGATTCCCTTAAAGACATACTCAAAAATACCCTATATGGTGCCTTCTAAGGTGATAATCCTAACCCTGTCTATGCTGTTTCACCATAAATGCATCACAACTTTCTGCGCAACTAAAAAAGACTAGATGAAATTAAAAAAGGAAAAGGGTTGGTTTTCGAGGCATTTTGATAAACAATGTCAGCACTGTCCTGTGGCTGCCTCAGCTCTGGTGGTCTGCATTTGGGTCCTTTCTTGTGTTGCCATGCACTCCTTCATTTGTGAAGCAAGTCTCTGTCTGAGAATAAATGCAAAACAATGTCTGGAACAATACAGAAATCCAATGACGAATTGCACTTTGTGTATAATATTATAGTATAAACAAATGACAAATCAGTTGGTCAACAGAATATATCAGTAAACAAACTAAACAAGGAGCAAAACAGCAGTAGTCAATCACATCTAGTATGGGGCGCTAACATACAGGACCGGTTCAACAGGTGGGAAAGGCAACAATGGACCAGCGGGGCAAAACTGGAGCAAAATTGGAGCACCAAACAACCACAGCAGACAGGATAAGAGCCAAAAGGAGAGAGCATCAGCCAGCAGGTGGCTCAGAGGAAGAGCGGGTCGTCCACTAATTGGAAGGTTGTTGGTTCGATCCCCGGCTCCTCCCACCATATGTCGAAGTATCCTTGATACTGAACCCCGAATTGCTCCCGAGGCTGTGCAATGGTGTGTAAATGTAATTATTTTGGTTCAAGGTCAGCATGTTTAATGGTCAAAGTTGGAGAGCTGCTACTGCAGCGACCACAGGTTCAACTCAGTCCTATGGCCCTTTGCTGCATGTCATCCCGTCTTTCTCCCCCATTTCGTGTATAAATACAGCTGTCCTATAAAGTTAAGGCAAAAATCCCCCCAAAAATATATTTTTTAAAAGTTATAAAACACTACAACATGGATATAATGATAACAATATCTATGCCAAAGAAAAAAGGGATTTGGAAACAAATATTATAACAATGAATGAAAAATGGGAGGAAACTTTCAAAGCACGACATGAACTAACTAACAGTCCATCATGGAGGGAATTTGATTGGAAGGTGAAAATGAACCCCCATCTATCATGCTTTAACCAATGCAAATGTTTTTATTTGTAAAGCTTTTCTGCTGGACACAAGATGTCTTCTACTTCATGTAAAGTCCATTCTCAGTCTATGCATCTACATCACACTGTAGAAGTTGCATACTAGACCAGGGTTGATTTCCAAAATATTTGTGATGTCACAAATCATGCTCGTAGGCCCCGCCTTTAAGCAGATAAATGTGAAAACATTCACAAACTCTGTACATACATTATTCTGAACACTGTAAAGTAACATCACACTATAGTAGCAAGAATAAAAACATATCTTTGACTGCAATTTGTGATGACAACTTCTGAACTTATTTTTTATTTAAAAAGCCTAATAAGCAAAACACATTTATCTACAGTGCAGCAGTTCATCTGAATAATCTGAACACAAAATTGTAATTGAGTATTTCACAGAGCAGGGTTAAAGTGGTCTTAAAGTAATAGTTAAGCACCATGTACCATATTAAATCATTTGGAACTTTTACACAGCATGTTGACAGAGTGTGTGTTTTGTTATTGTTGTTGTTAATAAGTTTTATTGAACAAACATTTTTAGACTACCATAAATTATGTTCCATAATCCAGGTTTAGGACAAAACTATAAAGACAAAAAATAAAATACAAAAAGACACACAAGAGGTCAATTTAAGCAGGCATAATATTAGAGTTTACATGAGTTAATAGTTTTAGTTAATCTTTGTTAGGTTTTTTAATATTAAGGTGCTTGAGGTTACATGTTTGTTTAAATGTAATATAAGATGGTAACTAATGAATGAGAAGAAGAAGGGACCAACATATAAGAGTTTGCCTATGAAAGTTGGAAAGTTTGATAGGAAGTTTACTGACAGCAAGGACAGTAAATAAAAAATGAAACAGCCACTTTTTAAAAGTGAAAAGTTTGGAATAGTATTTCACATGCTATATGGATTTTTTTTAGAAATATTTTGATCCAGTTAATTTTAGGATTATGATTAAATGAGGAAAAGTCCAAAACATTAAACTCTCCCTCTGTTAGAGTCATGGACATGACTTACTTTTTCATCTTTTGTGGCTTATTTTTCCTGTCTCAAGCTTGCCTCAACAAGAGGTTTGGTGTTTTATGTGTTGTCTTGTTTTGGAAAGTCAATGCCAAGAGGTTCACGAACCTTTACGAGCATGCGCTTTCTTTTGAACATGAGGGCGGAGACATACTGGAAAACAACGTGAGGTACGCGCATGTAACGCCAGAAATCTCCGATTTGTCTCATATGTTTGACAGGCAGTTTCTCTGACAAATGAACAAACAGTATGTTTTCGCTGGGCATTTAAGAAGATCCTTAAACTGTCAGTGGTGGGGTAAATGCTCACTAGAAAAGACGTGGGTCCATCCGTATGTTGTGAGATCGTGTAGATATCGCGCAGCAAGGCAAAATATTGCGACACAACTTTCCCTTGACGGGAAGTGGGTGGTCCAACTCCAGAATCAATCGCAAGTACGTGACAGAAAAAATAGCCAACATTTCTTTAACTTGTTTTGGTCATTGTTAAGTTAGGTTTTAGCCATAAAGAAGAATGGAATTGATCTAACGAACATTACACAGGAACCAAAATTGACGCCAGTTAGGTAAGTTAAGTAATCACCCTTGCTTTTGAAGGCGGAAACAATATGGCGTTAGCAGGGATGCCAATGTGAGCTCTCAATGCTAACCTAGCTAAATATTTAATTCAGAGAAATGTGACTACTATTTCATGCTATATTGTTAGCCATACGCTAACATTTGCTTTTTGTCTAACAACTTACATTAGTCAATGGTAACTAACGTAACGTTAACACATTCTTATAACGTTATAACAGTTAGCTAGCGTTAATTATCTTAAGGATGGTAAAGTGAGGTAACGCCATCATAGTTCGTAAGGTTGTAACGTTATCTATAATGCATAATCATACTATCTAACGTTATGAGAACCTTTTCTGATATTGTGGTCTTTTCTATGTTCCTAGCTAGTTGTCATCATGGTGTCTGCGAAAGAGGTCCAGCTGTTGGTGTTATCTTGCCTTATCTTTGCTCTACCTGCTATAGGAGGTCAGTACCATTTTACATATTAACGTCTGGCAGTATTGGGAAGTAACGTTATTCTCTTTCAGTTGACATATAAACACAAATCTTCATGTAAGTTAACTCCAGACTTTCCCACTGTTATTTGGACATGATGTGACAGCAGGAAAACTCCAGGTGGAACTAATAGCGTTAATATTGGCTGGAGGATGGGAAATAAGCACCAGCCAAATACTGTTAATATATGAAAGTATCTGGGGCTGTAACATTATAAATTATAATTTTGGCCGTGTCATAGGATATCACTTTGTTTTGTTTGTCTTTTGCATGACTGGGCCTTTTTATATAGGTTTATAGTGGTTTATTCAACTATAAGGAGCACACAGAATATAAAAACATTTGAATGTAATCATGTAAGTTATATACTGAAAGTTTTAATCACTATAGGGATATTCTTGGCCTTACAAAATGATACAATATATGAAGGAATCAGAATGTTTTTTTTCCCCCAAATTTTTTTATTGTGCAAACTGCAACGTAATAAAAACAGAACATAAAAATAAAAACGATATGCCAAGAATTTCAACACTGTCTATTCTAGCCCCATAAAAGTGGCTGGTAGATGTTGGACACAAAATAATGATTTGCTATTAAGTGGCTGGTGAATTTGAACATTTAACTGTCAGTGGCTGGTAGATGTTCCCATTTTAAAAAGTGAATTTCCCAACCTATGCTTCAATTCAAGGGCAATTACATTGTGGCATTGTGTATGCTGGCAACATTACATTTATATAGCTCAGTGTTTCTCAAATAGGGGTACTTCTGCAGATGGTACTTGTTTTTAAATGTCAGTCATGCATAATTTCTAAGATAATTATACTGTAAGTTCATAAAAATAATGTAAATATATGTTTGATAAACAACATTTTGTATTCAAAATTTACTGTCAATAATCCAATCATTAACTGCTGTAAACCGTCAACTGCAGTTTGATTAGCTGTAAAGTGCAGTTTCCTCCTGCCACTGAGAATCTCAGCGAAGCACAAGCCAATGTTTCTCACTAAATTGTAAGTGCAATTTATCTAAAAAAAAACATTCAGTGCAACTAGAATGCCATCTTAATGTTACTGCATGATGACAAAAAATTGGTTTACATGAATGTAGTGATGGATTCTTTAACATTTGAAATTAAGCATCTAAGTGTGTTTCTTAATAAATCAGACACTGATTGCGCAGTGGTGTATTGTACCTCCTATATAGGCATTTTTATTCCACCAAAAATGTTTTACGGAGGTCAGGGCAAAAAATATTTCAAAGATATGACAACCACTGATTTAATGGACGCTTGTTCCCAATGTGGCTTACAATAAGTGCAGTTAATCTTGTGGATACAAATAATGCAAGTACATCAACTTAATCAAATAAGCTGAACTGCTTCAAGTGCTACAATTGGGCCAAGATGCAGTCTGAACAGGTCAGTTTTTCGTCTGTGACGAAAGATGTGAGTTTCCGCACTCCTGATGTCAGTGGGGAGCTGGGACAGCAACAGTTTGGATTTTGTTGAATTAGTGATAGTCGGTATGACTTAAGATTTGTATCCCATTATTTTTTTAACATTGTGGTGGTTTCACTGTATGATTTATTTTGCATAACTAGGCCTTAAAATAGGTTTATAGTGGCTTATTCTACTGTCAGGAGTACATAGATTATAAAAACAATTTAATTAACATTTACATTATTAGATCATTTACATTACAATTAATGATAACAATATAATGTCATCATGTATCTACTGAAGGTGTTGCTTACTACGGGGTTCATTGTGAAAACTGCAATGTAGTTAAAACAAAAACTAAAAATAGAAAAGATATGCAAACCAACATTGCTTCCTTTTCAAAACAAAATATTAAAACATGCACAAGAAACAAATGAGTGAGAGCAGTTGTTTCAGCTATGCAACAGTATGGCGGTATATGTACAATTCATATCATATGGGAAATTAAAACCAGTATACAGGCTGGGGTATATGGTTTGATCAAGACTGAGCCATTCAAGTATCATTGTCTTGAATTGGAATTTGAGTGAAGGTGTGAAGGAGTGGTGGACGATTCTAGCTGCAGAGGTTGGATGCGATCAGCCAAAAGCGAGTTGGTGCAGTCTAGGCGCAGGGTGACAAGAGCCTGGACAAGTACCTGCCTACCTTCTGGGTGAGGATCAGATTATCCTCCTGATGGTGTGGGGCATGAGTCAGTAGGAGCAGGTGGTCACAAAAATGTTTGCAGCGAAGGACAGCTGGTCATCCAGTGTCACACCCAGGGTCCTTGCAGTCTAAGCCGGGGACACAACAGAGTTCTCAATGTTAATGGAGAGGATATGGACGGAAGATGCCTTCCTTGGAAGGAGGAGCAGCTTGGTCTTGTTGAGCCCCCCCTGTGGTTGAATCAAAAAGGACACTGTAATGAACTGCTTGTTGTGGGCTGTTTTGTGTCTGTACCACCTTGAAGGTCTGAGTTAGGGCTGGGCGATATGGCTTAACAATAAAATCTCCGATTTCTTCACACCAAACCCGATTTACGATTTTAATAGATTTTTTTTTCCTTCTTAAAAAC